AGGTTCTCACGGGAGCGTGCGCACCATATGTATACCGATTTGTGTCCAGAAATGATTCGCGCATGTTTATATAACCACGTACGCGTATGTATCCGTAACAAATACGATGTTATATAGACGCATGATAATGTACAAGTGTGCGTTTTTGAAGCATGTTTATATGTATATCTATTTAAGATGTTTGTCGGTGCTTGTCAACCGGAAGTACGCAATATATTCACACATCTGCACCGCACACTCTGTGCATTTGTATGGCAAATATGTAGATCCATACACACACACACACATATATATATATATATATATATATATGAAAAAGACCTCACCTACCAGCGCAGCCGGAGCCGTGCACGATTGTAGTCCAGTCAGATATACCGTGAGTGCGTATGTGTTTGTACCTTGCCCTACCCATATCTGCCAAACGCCCATATACTTACCATTGCTAGTCTATATCACATCTCTATCTACATACGGTGGCTTAAATCGTCTCTCGCGTCCGTTCTGTGTGCGTAGCACTCCGTCGTCTGCTGCAGCCGGAGACCGCCTTGGTAGACTGACCAATCACTTGCTGGAACAACGAAGGTGAGTTCACTTGCAAGATGTTCGGCACGTCGGATACAATATTGCATTCACTGTCTGAAGTCATGCGGCTTATTGAATATATAGTGGAGATGGTCAGCGCATACTGCTGTCACAAGGAGTTTAGCGTGCTAAGACAGGGAAAGTGGGCTTGTTTGATACGCTGTTACATTACTGGGGGTGTTGTTTTGTTTTGCGTATCACGCGCCTACCATACACCACCGCTTGTACAATTACACATACCCTACAGTACTGTCTATTAACTTACTTTGTACATGTGCTTGTTGTATGCACATGTAGCTTCTACCCGTTGTATCCCGCGGCGAATGGTGTGAGCATCGATTACGAACGCCTGGAACAGTTGGAGATGCCAATGACACCGGACATCCTGTTAATACCATCAAACATGAAATACTTTGCAAAGGTGTGTATACTCTCGCTTTGTAATTCGTCAGCGTGCACTACTTGTTAAGCGCGTATCTTATGATACCAGACATTCTGTTAATACCATCAAATATGAAGTACTTTGCAAAGGTGTACAGTGTCGCTTGAGATGTTGTCAGTAGGATTACTCTTTACGCGCGTGTGGTAGCTTGCTATCGATTGTGAATGATGATTGTCGTCTTGTATCTGCCGGACAGAATCTTGTATAATAGTGAGCAACATCGTTATCCACAATTTAGAAGTGCATTCGCGTTTGATGTGTGTATACGCGGACATTCAGATACGGACGTGTGTCCGTATTGGTGCGTTGTGCATGTATGTGCAAGCAATTCAGAGTACTCTTGACTTCATAAAGTGTCCCGATAGGCTCGAGTGTAAATATAGAGCCTTAAACAAACCATTGTTGTATTTAAACTCAGACTATATACTCCGGTTTCGATCTCTCATATATTCCCTGGTACTTTGCAGAATGTCAGCGAGTGTTTAGCGATCAATCCAGGTCGCCTGACTCGAGCAAAATCGGGTGGAACCTACACCAAATTCACAGTACACGCGATCCGACGGAACGACATCCTGGAAAGCGAAACCGACAAACCCATTCGACACAATGTTATAAATCGGACACGCGTGGAGATTCTGAAGATCTAGTTGGGTTGAGGATGAACGTATTAGAATAAAACTTTAGATTCACACCTGCACATTTAAGATAAATGCTGCACAAACAACAAACCCTGTGCCCAGTACCTTGTGTGATACAGTAGTAGACTATACACTGCTCAATAATAGTGATAGGAAATTTGACATAAATTCGAAGTCTGTTCGCTAGCGGTTTGTACCCGTATTGATTTCATAGCGACCTTTATTTCTTTTAAAATAGTGAATAGGCATCCGTATGTAATCAGACAGCAATAATCGATGCCGTGAAATTCTAAGCGTTTACTGTGTCCTCGATGCGCCTTGCTGATATTTGTCAAGACGCTTTACTAAATATATATGTCGAGACTTGCTCTGTGATACGTTCGTTTATCACCACAGGATTCAGTACCTTATGCGTCCGTAGCCATGATACATTCCGTTGTAGCACATGTTCTTAACTGCCGGCATGTTACAAATACATATCTTGTACTATATGCTTCCCGATACTTTCCCTGAAGGCAACGTGATGGTCTCTGATGGTGTTTAGTGTTTAGTGGTTGTCGCACAGACTTTGAATACGGTCGACGTGGAGTATAGGCCAATTGACCAGATTTGTGGCCATTGCCGTCTTCCGGGTATCTGTCTGCATATACTGCTTGCATCGCACGTTGTCGGTGTTGTAGATAGTTTATAGCACTGGTATAGGAATTCATGAATGGGTCTCAGGAGAGTCTTTGTTTTGTGTGTGGTGTTTACCAGTGAGTACCAACGCTGAGAAAGAACCTTCAGCGAGTGTGTAGTCCGTCTCGCCGCCCTTCCGATTGGCAATTTCAATTTGATTGCGATGTCCGTTGTTGATTTGAATATTCTAAGGCAGAATCCGTTGATTGCTTTGCCGATGTAATAGATTTGGAGTGTAAGTTTACACCTATAATTTTCCCCCTCGTTTTGGCATCACCTCAAACTATTGGTATTGCAAAACGCCAGGCCAAGCGTTTCGTTGATGCAGCTCCATACATCGTACGGGTCACTTTTACCAACATAGATGAAGCGTATATAGCAGTGGAACTTACTCGCGGCATTATTTCTAGTGCTCGTTTAGTTTGTCGGGCACAGACTGTGAGTATAGTTGGTGATGCAGCGACCAACCTCAGAACTAGGCTTACCAAGAAACTGAGGAGTACCAGGAGTATCTGGGCCGTTGTTACTATTGGATAACAACCGATGCGTTCTATTACAAAACTCTTGAACGCCTCGCTGCACTCGTCTGGTGCCAAGAATGGGATCACGTTTTGTGCAGCATATACTACAGTTAACGATACTGTCAGTCCCAGGATATACACAGTGTGTGAGATGCTGCTGATAACTTTTGAAAGAGCTTGTGCAATTGATCGGCACGGTCCTATAAATACCTCTAGTCCGGGCATATATTCCATCAACATCGTAATACAAGAAGTTCTCACGAGGTAAGATTCTATTGTAGTAACGATCGAGGTGCACTCTTTTATACTTCTTTTTTTAACACTATATATTGAACTTTCATCCAGACATATATGGGATTCCTTAATATAGTATCATGTGATACCTGATGATGATTCCACTTACTCTCGTTAGCCTGGCCCTGGGCTCTGGAGGCTGGAAATGTAGATGTATGTTGTATTTTTGTAAAATCTACTATAAATCTATGTAAACATTCATTATTATTATAGTTTATACTCGATGATATTTCATAAAATTTTGTTTGTCGGCGTTCAACCGCAACGTGTTCTGTGATTCCCCATCCAGGATAGAATGTAGAAGCCCTCTAAATACTGGCAATGCTTGCATATCCAGTTTATACGACAAATAAACATAAAAAGTAAAAGCAAGGAGCACTGTTTTCCCGCCTGATACTCATGACCGTTTCTATACGATAAAGAGTCTAGTACTTGTATCTGATTGCCCTACGAGCCGGTAAATGTTAACTAATCGTATTATCCATATCAGTCACGTTTTTTAATGTGATTTCCTCTTCCCTTCAGACTTCACTATCTTGTTGTGTGGGAAAACAAAACAAAAGAATATTGTACTACCAACCACTGGGACAGTCAGACTGTCAGAGTACATAAATATTTAGAGCCTTTTGTGGTTAAAAAAATTAAAAAAATAGAGGTACATACAAATCAATACATATTGTTTTGTTTTTGTAAAAACAAAACAAAACACAGCAGTCTGAACTCTGAACTCTGAACTCTGAAGAAGAGAGAGTAATCGATATTTTCATGATGGCCCTCTGGATTTGAGTCTGCGCTAAATTTACTATTTCCGCTACGACACCTGATTTCTGGTCGAGACCCAAATCCAGAGGGCCATGTTTTTTTTCCAATTTTTTTATTGAAGGAGTAGATTCTCTCACTCTACTCGGAGAGAGTAGAATAGTAAATAGACTCAAGTCTCAAGACTGTAGACGTAGTTGACACACTATTGTTAAAATTGTCTATTTTTTTATTAAAAAACTAACATATAAAATTATAAATAGAGAGAGAGAGGTAAAAGTGAGCGAACATAAAACAAACACTCAACAGTACTATTATAAGTATTTTTAACCATTTACTGTATTTAATACACCGTGCTTTTTTTTTAAACCTTAGACGCTCATCGAGTCATCACTCATCAGTCGTGGACTCGTGACTCGTGACTCGTGACTCGTGTTGTGTTTGTTCATTGTTGCTGTGTTGCAAACTGGCAACGCTGTTGAGATCACTTGTTGAGAACTTGAGTGTGAGTGTACACTTCTTGACAGTGTTCATCACCGTTGACTTTAAGTGCAAATATGTACTTCTTGAGACTTCTCACTTCAGAGGTCAGACTTTGAGACTTGTCAGTTGTCACAGTGTCACTTGAGTCAACTCATGTCTCGAGTTGTATTGACAGCCAGACAGACTGTGACTCTGTATAGTCTATTTTTCTCAAAAAAAAAAATCGGTCATCTTAGTTTATATGGCCGCTGTGCCCTGTGCCCTGTGGCTTGTGAGTTTTCTTTTTGTTTTAACAAAACTCTTAAAAAAAAAAGCAAAATACTTGCAGTGTACATAAAAATACATATTTATGTATTTACATATTGACTGTATCTTTTAAAAAAATACAATGTTCAATTTTCGGAAGGCTAAATATGTGTGTAAATATTTTGATTTTTGATAACGAATAGATTATATATTTTAAAGGAAAAAATTATTTTAAAAAGCCTAGTTTGGGTTGGACAGTTGATAAACGACGCCGACATTTTTGCAAACGACATCATATATTATTTACACGTCGTGACGACATTTTGTGTAGGACATATTGAACGCGACGTACATAGCGTCGTCGTGTCGTGTCTGCTGGAGGCTGCATCAGGGACTCGTCAGTGGGGCATCAAATATAATAAAACGAAATATATAGCCTTGTATAGTTAAATAATTTGAAGACTATGCGACGGTGCGACATGTGAATTGTGATACTTGTCGCCTCGGCATTTTTTTCATTTGGGTGTACGACTACCGAGTGTACGAGAGGTGTACATCGATGTCGTACATATACTGTATCTAGAGCTGTCCAACTCGCTAATTAGGAATTACTCGAAATACTTTTATTACTCCCAATCTTAATAAATAAATTAATTTGCAACTTGACCAATCAAAATAATTCTCTGGCAAAGTATATTCGTCATGCTTGCAATCTCAAATCTGCATTGCCCACTTTACCGGTTTCTTCGGTGTTCACGGGGAGTGAGTGCGCATATGTATTTAAAACTTCATATACTTCACGGCCACGCCGGCCGCCCACGGTCACCCAGGGGCCAGGGCCACAGCTCACCGGCCCCGCCTGGTTGTGATTTGTGACTCAATAGGGGCCTCCATTTTTTTGTTAATATTTATTGCTATATTTTAAAAATAGGTGAGCGAATAATCCGCAAGCAAAAACTAAAACTCACGGTCACCCATCACATATATAGTGGACGCGGTACGATTTTAATTTAGTACTTGATCTCTCCCAGAGGACTCCAATCTCAACAAGTCCATAGAAATACCAAACCACCAACTCTGCTGACTGCCGGTGAGTATAGGAGTAGAAATGTCAAAATATACGGGGACGCACCAGCTAGGCAAGCAACGACTGCAGAGTGTCAGTCTACACTCTGCAGATATATAT